CACAGATGTGTCTTGCGGTGGAGGAAAAAGTGAACGAATAGGACCCATATTAGGTCTATAGGCAGTCGGATGTAAGCAGACATGTGTTTACATCCATTTACCTCCAATCCATCCCATTCAGACCCGCCAAAATTGAACTTTTTTCAGAACTAGATGGACTCGGAGGTAATAGGTTTTTAAACAGACACATGTCCACTTACATCCGACTGCCCAGAGGCTAACATTCCATCATGTTCTCCTGAAAACCTGACGGGCAGACCTGCCTAAACCTTGTGTAAAAGGGGCCTCAACTAGTTTAAATGCACATGTTTTACATTGTGCTAGTGTTTTCTGTGTACTTACTAATGGGTAAAAACTGGTACAGGGGTGCAGGGGGCCTGGAGAGGGTGAAGCCAGGTATGGAGGGGCCTGTATTGATGTATAAAGTATTGCGGGGGATTGTAGTCCTCTATAGCTGGTGATATTCTGCATTGCTGTACAATGTATTGCTGGGATTTGTAGTCCTCTATAGCTGGTGATATTCTGCATTGCTGTACAATGTATTTCTGGGATTTGTACTCCTCTATACAGTGGTGGAGCTACCAAGGTCACACCATAAAAACATTAAACTTAGCAACAGTTTATACCATATAAAAATATGTTGCCATGTTCACTTCTGGGAAAACACTGCTCTTGTTTTTTTAAGATTCATTATCCTTTATTGGCAGCAACTTGATTAAATATGTTAATATTTTCAGCATTAATATTTAATAGGAAACTGCAGCCTAAACACCATTTGCTACACCATTCGATAGCCTACTGTTATGTGCGATCGGATGTGTTTGAAACTTCGATGAAGGAAAGCAAACAACACTGTAGGTTGTACACCATCCTCAACTCGTACCTGAGATAATGGAGCCACACAACATTTTCCCCAGACATGAGCAACAGTTGGATGCAGCACATCCTTGGAAGATCAATGGCTCTCCTTACTGTAGAGAGAAGGGAATGACTGCTATCCTAAAGAGAATATCCATGGTCTGGGAAATCTATGTAGGAATAGCAAACCCTTCTGGTGTGTTGTTTGTGTATGTACCTACTGTACATTGTTATATGTGGCAAGTGCAAGTGATGTTTAAGGATCCATTCATAAGAATGCGTGCGTGTTAACACTTGTTAAACTGCATTGTACCTGCCTATTTATTTCCTATGGGCGCTTAAAGAGGTTCAGCACCAAATTGTTTTTAATTTTGTGAAGCTACTCCTAAGCCTGGATTCCAGTTAAGCAGTATAGGTTGGTCACCACCCTGCCCTCTACTTATGATTGGACAGTAAACTTAATAAAGTTATCTCTCTCCTCCTGTCTGCATGCTCCTTGTCAGTACAGAGGCTGCAGAGGCTAAAACTAACTGTACATTGTGTATGATTGCTGGGGGCTTATTAGCAATGAATGGGTTGCTCCCAAAAATGTAATTTTGTGAAGCCAGTCCTGAGTCTTGTTGGACAGAACAGTCAGGTTAATGTCTTCAATTTCCATGTTCCTTATCAGCAACAAGGCTGCAGGGGCTAAACCTGACAGCACACTTTTTAAGATTGTTGGGGGCTGATTAGAATTTAATGTGTTGCCCGCTAAAATGTAATTTTTTTGAAGCCTAGTCCAGATAAGCAGTACAATTTGGTCACCTGTCTGCCCCCTGCCTACGATTGGACCGTAAAGTCACTGCAGCTGACTGGTGAGGTTATCTCTCTCCTCCTGTCTGACAGAACTAGATGGACTCGGAGGTAATAGGTTTTTAAACAGACACATGTCCACTTACATCCGACTGCCCAGAGGCTAACATTCCATCATGTTCTCCTGAAAACCTGACGGGCAGACCTGCCTAAACCTTGTGTAAAAGGGGCCTCAACTAGTTTAAATGCACATGTTTTACATTGTGCTAGTGTTTTCTGTGTACTTACTAATGGGTAAAAACTGGTACAGGGGTGCAGGGGGCCTGGAGAGGGTGAAGCCAGGTATGGAGGGGCCTGTATTGATGTATAAAGTATTGCGGGGGATTGTAGTCCTCTATAGCTGGTGATATTCTGCATTGCTGTACAATGTATTGCTGGGATTTGTAGTCCTCTATAGCTGGTGATATTCTGCATTGCTGTACAATGTATTTCTGGGATTTGTACTCCTCTATACAGTGGTGGAGCTACCAAGGTCACACCATAAAAACATTAAACTTAGCAACAGTTTATACCATATAAAAATATGTTGCCATGTTCACTTCTGGGAAAACACTGCTCTTGTTTTTTTAAGATTCATTATCCTTTATTGGCAGCAACTTGATTAAATATGTTAATATTTTCAGCATTAATATTTAATAGGAAACTGCAGCCTAAACACCATTTGCTACACCATTCGATAGCCTACTGTTATGTGCGATCGGATGTGTTTGAAACTTCGATGAAGGAAAGCAAACAACACTGTAGGTTGTACACCATCCTCAACTCGTACCTGAGATAATGGAGCCACACAACATTTTCCCCAGACATGAGCAACAGTTGGATGCAGCACATCCTTGGAAGATCAATGGCTCTCCTTACTGTAGAGAGAAGGGAATGACTGCTATCCTAAAGAGAATATCCATGGTCTGGGAAATCTATGTAGGAATAGCAAACACTTCTGTTGTGTTGTTTGTGTATGTACCTACTGTACATTGTTATATGTGGCAAGTGCAAGTGATGTTTAAGGATCCATTCATAAGAATGCGTGCGTGTTAACACTTGTTAAACTGCATTGTACCTGCCTATTTATTTCCTATGGGCGCTTAAAGAGGTTCAGCACCAAATTGTTTTTAATTTTGTGAAGCTACTCCTAAGCCTGGATTCCAGTTAAGCAGTATAGGTTGGTCACCACCCTGCCCTCTACTTATGATTGGACAGTAAACTTAATAAAGTTATCTCTCTCCTCCTGTCTGCATGCTCCTTGTCAGTACAGAGGCTGCAGAGGCTAAAACTAACTGTACATTGTGTATGATTGCTGGGGGCTTATTAGCAATGAATGGGTTGCTCCCAAAAATGTAATTTTGTGAAGCCAGTCCTGAGTCTTGTTGGACAGAACAGTCAGGTTAATGTCTTCAATTTCCATGTTCCTTATCAGCAACAAGGCTGCAGGGGCTAAACCTGACAGCACACTTTTTAAGATTGTTGGGGGCTGATTAGAATTTAATGTGTTGCCCGCTAAAATGTAATTTTTTTGAAGCCTAGTCCAGATAAGCAGTACAATTTGGTCACCTGTCTGCCCCCTGCCTACGATTGGACCGTAAAGTCACTGCAGCTGACTGGTGAGGTTATCTCTCTCCTCCTGTCTGAATGTTCCTTGGCAGCATAGAGGCTGCAGAGGCTTAAGCTGACCATACACTGTAAGAATGTTGGGTCTGATTGGAAATGTATGGTATGGCCCCACAAATGTGCATGTAAAATATATGTTACTCATGCACATTAACACATATGCTTAAGTGCATATCCAGCCTAAACAAGGAAATTATCTTGCACATGTCAGCCTCTCTTAAGCATCCTCAGGACACCTCCATTTCTTCAACAGGTGAACAAGAACAGATACAAACATTCCAAACTTGCAGCTGACTGTCAAACAATTCGACCAGAGAATCTACAGAAGTTCACGGAAACCTTGTTTTAAGCATTCACTCTGATCATTTGGAATTCATAAAAAACTTCAAACATAAATGGATAAAAGAAGAAATCCGGCTGCCACAGCTTTGTGTACTTTGCATATCATCATAGTTCTTTGCTCAGCTTAATGATATACATGTGAATGTGGAGAGACAGATGAAAATGCAATGTGCTGGAATATACACAGTGACATGCACTAATCCCTCTTATTCTACCTGAATGATGATAGTTCAGCCTCACGGTGCCATCAAACTTTTATATTTATCATCTTACTTAACTGGTGAGTTAAGCTACGGTTTGTTAAGCTATGCAGTTCACAACCGCGTTTATGGCATCTTTAAGGATCTAAACCTAGACATACCATAGTAGACAAATCACTGCTGAACTGTTTGACTGCAGGTGCGTAAATACTATAAATACATCATGCCATTATGCAATCCTTCAATACTTCGCTATAACAAAAAGAGTAATAATTTGTCATTCAATAGTTCCGCATTTTACCAAATATATTAATACATTATACTGTGACAAAAGCATGACTTCATTGTTATATTAAATCACTGTTTTTATTTTATGAACAAGAATGGATTTTACGCTCAACAGTAGAGGTTACTTTAGTAGTCCTTTGGTTTAGTAGTCATTTGTTCTATTTAGACACAAACAGACTTGTGCAATATTGTCATCTGTGGCACCTCTGAAAAATGACCGGAATACTAATGTGCAAGGCAAAGGGAAAAAAGAAACAACAGTATCGCACCGTAGAAAGACAGAAGGCTATACATGAATAATAAAATGCATTTTAAATGAAGCAATATTAAGAGTCAGGGTAAACTCATTTTCTAATCACTTGAGTAAATGGAACTTTTAAGAGCTTGGATACAAATGCACAGCCATTAAGAAAAACACGCTCTCTAAACTGTCAGAGGGCATCCGTCCATTCTTTAAAGTAGATAGCTAGTGCGCCGCTTGCCATGAGACGTTTAAATGTAATAATTAAAGGAGCGGAGGCAGCAGCAGTCTAATATATTATGACAGCACGAGCATCCCAAAGATCTTTGCAAGAAGAGTAAGAAAATAAGTAATGTGCCACCTCTGGGAAGCATCCATAGCCAGGGTTTATTAGAAGGAACATTTGTTAGCACTTAGATGTCATATAGCAACCCCAAATAATCTTCAACCACTTTATAGAAAAATAAACTGCATTAAACTGAACTTACAAACAGAAAATGACGTAACACAAAGCTCATGGACAACACAAGGGTCCATCAGTTGAGGACACCTGAAAACACCAAAGACACAGGTCCAGCATAGGAACCAGGACAAAGTTTATGGCAGGTACTAACCCATTTGAGCCAGTCTGAATCTTTGAGAAGTGGCTACACTTCCTACCACATGGTACATCTCAGACGCCAGCAGGGAAGCCATTCGAGCTAAAGGAAAGTCCAGATGTTGCTTGAGAGCTTCTCTGTTAAGGCAGATGATAGTTATTGTACCTGACAAGATCTGCTTCCCATTGCAGAATAAATCTAAACAGCTGAGCAGGAGGCACTAAGCTGTAACTCTGAGCAAAGGCTGTGTTGTCATCGTACGGTGAAAAAAAAAAAGCACTCTAATCCACCAAACATCAGGAGACTGTATTGTATGTAACCCAGTTCTCGGCTATTCAAAAACAACACTAACAAAAAGTGTTGAATGGTTCAGTCCAACAGCAGCAGGCTTACAGCCGATGCACTATTCCTTTGGTAGTAACCCAAGGGGCAGTCTCTAGTCTAAAGACATGAAAACATTGCAGTCATTAACGTGATGTGAAAAGGGTGAAAGTGCCAGCATATTTATGCATGCTGGAAATGAATCCGCTCCTTAGTATTTCTTGTCAAAAATAATTCATTCATTCATCTGTTCATTCACTCAAAAGAGACAACTTCTTCTATAACAAATCCAGTATTAAGAAACTATAGTCCCTGAGTACTAGAAAAAAAAGTGAGCTGGTACATAGTTCATCTCTTTGTCACAAAAATATGGAAATGCAACAGTGTTCCATATTCTTTAATGCTAGTTAAATGTTGTGAAATATTCCAGGAATACTTTGTGTTGACCCAATGAACCTACTTGTTTACAAAGCCTGACTGGAGCTAGTGGCTTCTACTGGGCTCGGAGTGATAGTGTACAGTATGTGTTAGCACAGAGAGACTTGACCCCCAGACTCGGCAAGTTTTACCCCAGCCAATAGTGCAGAACAATATTAGTCTATTAAGGCCTCCTGTGCTTGAATACACGCTAACTGTAGGTGCAGCATATGGCAATGGTACATGAGTTCATTTTTTACCATGCTAGTTGTGCAGACTGTGCGGTATTTTCCATTCTACAAGATCAATCATGTGTGGCATTGTGAGGCAATACCACGGTGTTAGGTGGCCTCAAAGTCACCCAGGGTTCCCTCACCCCTCTGGCTGAGTGGCTCCAGGAAGAAAGTACGTGTACCAGGAGAGAACTGCCTTTTCAATTCTTTCCGGGTTTTCTGGATCATAGTTGGGATCCTGGAGCCAGGAGATTTCTTAGAGCTCTGGGTGGGACGAAATCTCCATTCCTGGGTCCATGCTTTGGTAGTGACCAGCACCTGATTGTGCACCTGTGTACATCCCTCATGAAGAGTGTGCTGGGATGTGTTCAGGGCCCCACCTGTGAGTCAGGAGAACTCCACCCAGGAGTCAGAGTGGAGGCCAGTGCAGCGGAGCTGCGGGACCTCTTGTGCAGGTTTAGCACAAGACCGTCTGGAGGAACAGACAGTGGCCTCAGGCCGGAGCAGCAGTGCTGTGAGTGAAAGCCAGAAGGTTGGATGTGCCTGTATTTCTGGGATAAAGAACCCCTGCGATGGTAATCACATAGTTTTGTGAATGTTCATTTAATAAAATTGGGCAAGGAAGCCCTTAAAAGAGGTGATAAGCGAGTGGACTCCGTCCTTAATGTGCTACCATTGAAAGCTAATCTCACACATGTATTCTGGCAATTATTAATCCTGTGCATGTAAGCATAAAAACCACTATAGAGAAATATACTGTATTCTGGCAACTGTATGTGATTTATATCTGTCATGGTATTATTCAGTAGATTATTTTTTTATTTCACATGACATTAATACTGTAATATTCTTCTCCACACTTGTATGCAAACCAAGCTGTCCAGCAAATGTGACAGTAAGGCCTCATTCACACAGGATAGAGTGGGGCCCTACAAATCTGTGCGGCATGGACGGCCGTATCGGGCCATTCTGAGGAAAGACAGCTGCTGCATGTAATTGTACGCAGCAGCCTGTTCGTCCCTATGAGACTACACGGCCGTGTGCTCACCCGAGCTGCACATCCGTGCGGGAGCGTGTGTACGTGCTCGGACGCAGACAGAATCCATCCTGTCTACGTCAGAGTACGGACAACCAGAACCGCACGGATGTGTAGCTCGGGTGAGCATACGACAGCGTACAGCTGCGTCCTCCCATAGGGAAGAACAGGCTGGTGCGTATAATCACACGCAGCACCTGTCCTTCCCAGGAACAACTCGATACGGCCGTGCACACCGCCCGGATCTGTACGGCCCCATTCTACCCTGTGTGAATAAGGCCTAACAGGGGTGAACAAACTATTTTACTAAGAGGGGTGCATACAATGGTCAGCTTTTATTCATATGGTTTAAAGTAGAACTCCTGGAAAAAGCAGTTTTAACCCTTGCGGTAGGGCTACTCCCGCACTGCAAGGGTTAAGTGCCGTTTTTGTCTAGGTGCTAAAAAAAAAAGTTATACTCACCTGATCCTGAGCTGGCTTGCTCTTAGACCGATTCCTGGTCCTTTTTAGCACCAACACAAAAATGAGCACACAACCATTGCAGTGAGAGAGTAGCAGCATCCATTGTAAGTGATTTCAACAGCATTAAATGAAAAAAAAATTTTTTTGATTTTTATATAATTTTCTGGCACTCCGTGGGGGTCATAATGTCCTATGTTGACACCTGTGTTTATGGAGCCTAAAAGAGACTGTTAAAAACAGAGCTAAAGCTGCCACACACTTACATTTTTTTATTGTTCATCCTCGTGGGCTAAACAAGAAAAAACTGTCACAATACCCAGCAGTGACTGTAGCTCTTTGGCTGCAGCCACTCTTTGCCCAAGAATTTTCCACCCAGCTCCAAAGGATGTTGAGCAGGTGGCTGCCGATAGGGTCTCCCATGGAGCAAAATCTTTCTGGTTTTTGATGAAATTATGACATTTGGTCCATGTATGGCCAGTTTTAAAGTGCATCTAAAGCTTTTGCACACCACTCTCAGCCACTGCACTGACAGAACAGGAATAGAGAGGAAATCTTCCGACACAAGGGACACTTGTTCAGGTGAGATAGGGAACTTCCCCCACTTTAAAAGAGATTTCCTGACATTTCCTGTCCGGTCTATAGGACAAATAGTGAAGGTGCATCTCCCCAACTTCCAGACTAGGGTTTTAAATCTTCCCTATTCTATCAGATATACTTCAATGTCTATACATATACAGAATCTTATTCTATTCTAATTTCAGAACATATGTATTTCTCACGGTGGTGTTGCAATCATTTATGAGGACAAGTGAAATGTTCAGCTGACATCTTGTAGCCCTGAGAAACATGTCAGCCGTATATACTGGGAAACAAGCACTGAACATCTTCCTGGACCAGTGCTATAGGGTAAACATCTGTCACTGCTGTCTGCTTGTAAGAAGACGAAATGCAGCGCTGATACAACAGGCAAAGCTCTGCATCTTCCACACTCGGCTCAGTCATGGCAGGCACAAATCTGTCACAATAGGTCTTGTGCCAAAATACATACAAGTACACACGTGGCATACACAAGCAGATCTTTAACTTCAAGAAGGACAATCAAAGCATTATTTGCATGTTCAAGATTTGTGTTTCCAAGTGTAACAATTACAAATGAAGATTTAAATAAAGGAGAAAAGAAAATGACAATTCAAACCGCACCCCTATGATATCTTCTCGTAGATTACTGTTTATCTTGTTATTTTTGGCTGGGGTTCTGATTAAAGAACTTTGGTCATTTTTTTCATTCAAAAAATGACCGCACTGCAAGGGTTAAGTGCTCATTTTTGCCTAGGGTTAAAAATAAAAAAAGGTTATACTCATCTGATCCTCGGAGACGGTTTGCTCTCATACCGGTCCCTGGTGCCTCTCTTCCGCTCCACTGCAGCGGTCTAAGGTCCCTGAGTCATCACGTTCTATACACAGTGAATAGGATGTGGAGGACGCCAAGGGGCATTCCATTGCTGCAGCAGAGAAGGGGACAGGTTGTAGGGACTGCCGCCACACCCAGCCCGCTCGGTGGATTGAATGAGGATCGAGGATGATCCTCATTCAATCAGCCAGCCAGCTCGGAGGATCGCAAGATGGAGGAAAAAACTAGATGGACATGGATATCACAATGGCGACATCCATTCCAAAGTGCTCCAATCAGTAGGAGATCCGTGCATGGATCCCTTGCTGATTGGAACTGAAGGCACCCATGTGCACCATTTCAGTCGGATCATTTTATGATATTTTTTCACATCCTTCCCTGCCTTCTAACCGGAATAACCTTGTGGTCACCAGAGCAGTCAGGCGTCAGACCTACCTGGCCTGAAAGTCGCAGTGAAGAGAGGGCAGTGACATTTACTTCTGATTTGAAATAATTTTGGTTTAAAACATTTTACATTCAAAAGAATGAGTCAGTGAAAATGTGAGAAAACTTCAGATGGATAATCACAGGTATTTTATTGTATTTTGATTGTTATAGCTAAACACAAATGCCAACCGCATAAAATCAATTCATAAATAGCTTTTAAAGTAAAGTGCGCACGGAAGGGTTTTCCACAACACAAACAAACACTTAAGGAGGAATGGGCTACCTGTACGGCATGCCTGCGCTCATTTTATCCATTGCCATATACGCTCCAAGATGGAGGCTCTCATAGATTAGAGTTAGGACCACACTAGACAGGAGGTGCTATGACCAGGCAGTGTGGCTTCTACATATTTTGCAAAAATTATGCAACTTAAACCTCTGTTTTTAACGCAAGTTGTGACACAGTGTAAGTTTTTTTGCAGGCCGGTTGGTGAGCGTGTTTGGAAATGTTTGCTTTTGTACTGTGTAAAGCCCTTCCATGTGCACTTTCCTTTAAAGCTAGTTATGAATTGATGAGTGTGGTTGCCATTTTTGTTTCACTTGTTTGGTTTGGTGTGAGGACATATTGGCGGCTTCAGCTTCCATTATAATGTGCTGTTCTTCTGGTGTGTCCCTGTGAATTTAAGGAGGAATGGGCTACCTCCTGGCAAACCTGCACCCAATTCATTCTTTGCTATATATGATCCTATAGCTATATATAGCTATGGGAGCTCCTTTGCTATATATGCTCTCATAGATTAGCATTAGGATCACATACACAGAGGGGCCTTTACAAGGCATTGTGGCTTCCATGTTTTTTTTAGTT